TGATTCTATGATTCCATCCATAGTCTGAGGTCCTTCTGGTTGCCTGAGTATCTGGGCAAGTGTGCCATTGGCTTTCAGATTTCAGTTGGCACCCAAACACTTGGCAACCCTACTTTGGTATGACCTTGAGATGCAGACTGTCCTTTGGCTACCCTTAAGGTGCCACCTCTTCCCGTCTGCTGAGGCTGCCTTCCAATTCCTTGCATCCTCAGAGACCAAATCAGACTGCTAGAAATATTCTCGTCCCCCCCCCCCCCCCCGCCAACCATTGCATCATTTATGTTGCATCTGTCTACATTAACACAAAAGTAGACTAGGAAGAGGCCATGTCCTTAACCCCCGTCAAGGGAAAGAGGGGCAGGAATTGGCACGGGGTCTTTGACCTGCAGCCTGTCTGCTTTCACTTGAACTGGAGCCAGGAAATATGTCTCACAAACAAGGTCTAGCGAGGCTGTTCCAATCACTCCAATAACACGGGCAATTGCCCTGCCCTGATCATGCATGGAAAGCATGCCAAAGACACACTTATATTTTCATCCTATGTCCAGGAAGGTCAAAGCTTGAAGTTAGTTACTAATAACTAGTTGTTGTAAGCTTTTTCCTGCAATACAAAATTTATTTATTTATCGTACCAGGAGCAAACCAAACAGTTGTATTGCATTTTTTAACAAACAAATAAACAAACCACAAAGTTTGCAAGCTTGGTAGTTGATTAAATGTCCTTTGACCAGTATCTGGCCACTTGGAGTGCCTCTGGTGTCCATTGTGCATGTAGCAGGGCTCAGGTTGCATTGCAGCAGGTGGTCTGTAATTTGCTCTTCTCCACACTCGCATGTTGTGGACTCCACTTTGTAGCCCCATTTCTGAAGGTTGGCTCTGCATCTCGTGGTGCCAGAGCGCAGTCTGTTCAGCACCTTCCAAGTCGCTCAGTTTTCTGTGTGTCTCTCATTTAGTATCAGCCATTGATTGAGGTTCTGGGTTTGAGCCTGCCACTTTTGGACTCTAACTTGCTAATCCAAAAACCCATTTAATATAGAGTTCTCAAATAGAGAACATAACATATATTAAACTGATAAGAACAGGTACTACACTTGATCTTAGCCAAAAGGCCGAGAAGCAATAAGGTGTTCCAGCAAGTGTCTCTGGTCTCTCATTTGGTATCAGCCATTGATTGAGGTTCTGGGTTTGAGCCTGCCACTTTTGGACTCTCGCTTGCTGAGGTGTTCCAGCGAGTGTCTCTGTAGATCTTAAAAAACTATTTCTTGATTTAAGTCATTGACGTGCTGGCTGATACCCAAACAAGGGATGAGCTGGAGATGTCTCTGCCTTGGTCCTTTCACTATTGGCTGCTCCTTCCCGGCGGATGTCAGGTGGTGCAATACTGGCTAAGCAGTGTAATTTCTCCAGCGTGGTAGGGCGCAGACACCCCATGATAATGCGGCATGCCAACTGAAAATACTGGTAGGGTTTTGGGGAAAATTGGGTAAGGATGATTTATTGATTTATTTGGTGTAAGAAAGCATTGCATAATTATAATAAGTATGAAATTGATAAAATTGAGGAAACAAAATCAGCTCAATAATTTTAGACCCAAAACGGGCAACAGCGACCGCATTGTCTGTATATCTATCTATCTATCTATCTATCTATCTATCTATCTATCTATCTATCTATATATATATACATACATACATATAATATTAATAATGTAGTAATTTTATAATACTTATAATCATATTATAATGTAGTACAATATAATACTAATTATAATACAATATAATAATATATTGTCATTTTATTGATGTTTTTAATATATATGTGATAATAATTTTATAATATTTATAATCATATTATAATGTAGTACAATATAATACTTTTATAATTCTATAATACTATTACTATTATAATGTAATACAATATAATACTAATTATAATACAATATAATAATATATTTAGTATTATATTGTATTACATTATAATAGTATTATATTGTACTACATTATAAGAGTATTATATATATATATATATATATATTAAAAACAGCAATAAAAATTACAATATATTATTATATTGTATTATTATTAGTATTATATTGTACTACATTATAATATTATGATAAATATAATATTAATATTATATATATATTTAAAAACAGCAATAAAATGACATAATAATACAATAAAGTAATATATTGTCATTTTATTGCTGTTCTTAATATATATAATATTAATATCATAATGCTTATAATAATATTATAATGTAGTACAATATAATATTACTAATAATACAATATAATAATATACTGTCATTTTATTGCTGTTTTTAAATATGTATAATTTATAATATAATTATAATGTAGTACAATATAATACTATTATAATGTAATACAATATGATACTAATAATAATACAATACAAGTAATACATTGTCATTTTTATTGTTGTTTTTAATATATATATGATATTAATATTATATTTATAATAATATTATAATGTAATCTATATAAATAAAAATATAATGTTCATTTGTGATACCATCAGAACTCAAAAAGCACTGGGGGAATTGACACCAAATTTGGACACAAAACACCTAACAGTCCAATGTATGTCCTCCACTCAAAAAAATTGATTTTGTCATTTGGGAATTGTCGTTGCTGGGATTTATAGTTTACCTACAATCAAAGGGCATTCTGAACTCCACCAATAATGGAATTCAACCAGGACTTCCATGATGGAATTGGGCCAATTGGCACACACTCCCATGACCAACAGAAAAACTGGAAGGGTTTGGTGGGCATTGACCTTAAGTTTGGGAGTTGTAGTTCACTTACATCCAGAGAGCACTGTGGATTCAAACAATGATGGATCTGGACCAATTATGTTCTAGGTTGTACCGTCAACAGTGATGGATCTTGGAACCACAACTGGCCCGGAATTCATTCTCATATGCCCAATATATGAAACACCCGATGGGATGTGTAAGGAAATAGACCTTTGACATTTGGGAGTTTGCTCTATTGTTTGCAGTTGTGGGAGTTCCTGTTATATAGTTCATAACTCCAATCAATAGTTCAGTTCTGAACTTCGCACCAACTGATGTGGAAGTCACCAATCAATATGTCGGTGGTCAAATGACGCGACTCTCCATGACCCATTGCGAACAAAGACTAAATACTTAAGGCTGCCTCCGTCTCAGCATCAAGAAAATGATCTTCCGAGCCCGCTCACTTTGCAAAAACGAGCCGGATCCGCATAAGTGCTTATAGCCATCCAGTCCAACTCCCTTCACCAGGCAAGAAAATAATCAAAGCCCTCCTGATAAAGAGCCATCCAGCCATAGATATAGATAGATAGATATTATTCACACACACAGAGATATAGTATCATAGATTTGAAAGGGACCCCTAAAGAAGAACAATTATATGTCGCATGTTCCAGAGTGGGCAAACCAGACACTTTCCACATCAACACTGACAAAGAAACAGCAAGACGTACTGTTTACCCACAAGCATAAAGAAATTACATATATTAGAAACCAACACTTTCTCATTACTTTATTTTCCAGATCAACAGACTGGGCCACAGCAACACGTGGCAGGGGACAGCTAGTATATATATAGAGAAAAGCACAATCAAAGCACTGTTTTTAATAAATATATATATATATTTATAATATTCATATTATAATGTTTATAATAATATTATAATGTAATACAATATAATACTAATAATAATACAATAAAATAATATATTGTCATTTTTATTGCTGTTTTTAATAAATATATATATATTTATAATATTCATATTATAATGTTTATAATAATATTATAATGTAATACAATATAATAGTAATAATAATACAATAAAATAATATATTGTCATTTTTATTGCTGTTTTTAATAAATATATATATATTTATAATATTCATATTATAATGTTTATAATAATATTATAATGTAATACAATATAATACTAATAATAATACAATAAAATAATATATTGTCATTTTTATTGCTGTTTTTAATAAATATATATATATTTATAATATTCATATTATAATGTTTATAATAATATTATAATGTAATACAATATAATAGTAATAATAATACAATAAAATAATATATTGTCATTTTTATTGCTGTTTTTAATAAATATATATATATTTATAATATTCATATTATAATGTTTATAATAATATTATAATGTAATACAATATAATACTAATAATAATACAATAAAATAATATATTGTCATTTTTATTGCTGTTTTTAATAAATATATATATATTTATAATATTCATATTATAATGTTTATAATAATATTATAATGTAATACAATATAATAGTAATAATAATACAATAAAATAATATATTGTCATTTTTATTGCTGTTTTTAATAAATATATATATATTTATAATATTCATATTATAATGTTTATAATAATATTATAATGTAATATATTGTCATTTTTATTGCTGTTTTTAATAAATATATATATATTTATAATATTCATATTATAATGTTTATAATAATATTATAATGTAATACAATATAATAGTAATAATAATACAATAAAATAATATATTGTCATTTTTATTGCTGTTTTTAATAAATATATATATATTTATAATATTCATATTATAATGTTTATAATAATATTATAATGTAATACAATATAATAGTAATAATAATACAATAAAATATATATTGTCATTTATTTATAATATATATATATATATTATATAAATAAATGACAATATATATTTTATTGTATTATTATTACTATTATATTGTATTACATTATAATATTATATATATATATATAGATAGATAGATAGATAGATAGATATAATTAGTATGGCAAGAGTGTTTACTCTTTGCTTGGCTGGCAGACAGGAGAGGCAGCAGCATCACAATGGCCCCGCCCCTAGCCCCGCCCCTAGCCCCGCCCACCGGCCAGGTACTATAAATACCTCCAGCCTCTCTCTCCTGCAGCCAGTGTCGCCGCAGGCGTCGAAGGGAGAAGACGAGGACGTGGGGTCCTAGTGCGCGCCGGCTTCGTTCTCCGCCTCCCGATTATGGCTCGGATCTGGAGGCCGGTGAGGCTCCTGCGACTCTGAAGCCATGAAGACCATCATCGCTGCCTATTCCGGCGTCCTGCGAGGTAGACCCGCTTCTGATGCGGTTTCTGATTGGAAAAGAGCATCCCTATGAGCAGCATCAGGGAAGAAGGGGGTCCAATGGGCCAAAAAAGGACCTTTTTGGGGGAGGAAATGCAGCAGTTTTGAATTGGGCTGAATTCAGATCCATTGTGACCTTTTTACCCTTTTGAAAAACAATATTTTATTATCTATCTGTTATCTCTATATCTATATAATATAATATAATAATATATTGCCATTTTATTGCTGTTTTTAAATAAATATATATATTTATAATATTCATATTATAATGTTTATAATAATATTAGAATGTAATACAATATAATACTAATAATAATACAATATAATAATATATTGTCATTTTATTGCTGTTTTTAATATAATATAATATAATATAATAGTTAATATAACTATATAATATAATATAATAGTTAATATAAAATATTAACTATTTTTATTATCTATTTGTTATGTCTATATCTCTTTAAAATATTAATTATATTTTATTATCTATCTATTATCTATATATCTCTGTATCTTTATATTTTTATATCTATATATTTATTTATTTATTTATTTAATACACTTGTATACCGCTAATATCTCAGCCTAAATCGGCGACTCATTGCGGTTTACAGCAATTAAAAGCAATGTACAATTTAAAACAACAACACGTAAACAATACAAATTATTGGGCCACCAATAATAATACCATGCTTCTCGTCACAAAAATCACAGTCCAGAGTTCGTCATCCATAGTTAACCAGTCCTTAGTCTATAAATTCAATAGTAACAAACTAATTGAATGCTTGTTTACACAACCATGTTTTTAATCTCTTCCGAAAGACCATCAGCGAAGAGGCTGATCGTATCTCTATAGGGAGGGTGTTCCAAAGCCGAGGGGCCACCACAGAGAAGGCCCTGTCTCTCGTTCCCGCCAGCCGCACTTGGGAAGCCGGTGGGATAGAGAGCAGGGACTCTCCAGAAGATCTTAGGGTCCTGGTGGGCTGATAGGCTGAGATACGTACGGATAGATAAGTTGGGCCAGAACCGTTTAGGGCTTTAAAGGCCAAAACCAGCACTTTGAATTGAGCCCGGTAGCATATCGGCAGCCAGTGGAGCTGGTGCAGCAGAGGAGTTGTGTGCTCCCTGCACCCCGCTCCTGTTAGTACCATGGCTGCCGCCCGTTGGACTAGTTGGAGCTTCCGGACTGTCTTCAAAGGCAACCCCACGTAGAGAGCGTTGCAGTAATCAAGGTTTTACTATATAATGGTTTTACTGACTAAATAAATACTTTGTGTCTTAGTCCAGATATAAAGAAATGTTATAATATAATATAATAATGATACAAATAGATACAATAATTCAATATAATGATACAAATAGATACACTAATTTAAGTATAATATTATAATATAATATATTATCTATCTTGTATATTTATTTGTGTATATATACAAAATAGTTTTAATGACTACATAAATGGTTTGTGCTTCAGTCGAGATATAAATAAATGTTATAGTAATATAATATATAATATAATAACAATATAATGTGCACATAAATACAATAATTAAGTATAATAATATAATATAATAATATAGTATCTATCTTGTATATTTATGTATATATACAAAATGGTTTTACTGGCTAAATAAATGGTTTGTGCTTCAGTTGAGATAAATAAATGTTATAGTAATATAATATATAATATAATAACAATATAATAAATGTGCACATAAATACAATAATAATGTATAATAATATAATATAATAATCTCATATAATATAATAATCTCATGTATGCTTTGTCCTGCAGTCAAGATGTAAATAAATATTATATTATAATACAATATTATAATATAACAATATAATAAACATGCAAATAATATAATATTATAATATAACAATATAATAAACATGCAAATAATATAATATTATAATATAACAATATAATAAACATGCAAATAAATATAATAATATAGTATCTATCTCATGTATGTCAAGATGTAAATAAATATTATAATATAATATAATATTATAATATAACAATATAATAAACATTCCAATAAATATTATAATTAAGTACAATAATATAATATAGTTTCTAATCAATGCTTTGCTGTTCAGTCAAGATGTAAATAAATATAATATTATAATAATAAAATATAACAATATAATAAACATGCAAATAAATATAATAATTAAGTACAATAATATAATATAGTATCTATCTCATGCATGCTTTTCCTTCAGTCAAGATGTAAATAAATATTATAATGTAATATAAAATAGTATTATAATATAATAAACATGCAAATAAATATAATAATTAAGTACAATAATATAATAATATAATATAGTTTCTAATGTATGCTTTGTCATTCAGTCAAGATGTAAATAAATATTATAATATAATATAAAATAATATAATATAATAAACATGCAAATAAATATAATAATTAAGTACAATAATATAATATAATATAATAATATAGTATCTATCTCATGTATGCTTTGTCGTTCAGTCAAGATGTAAATAAATATTAAAATATAATATAAAATAATATTATAATATAACAATATAATAAACATGCAAATAAATATAATAGTTAAGTACAATAATATAATAATAACATAATATAGTATCTATCTCATGTATGCTTTTCCATCAGTCAAGATGTAAATAAATATTAAAATATAATATAAAATATTATAATATAACAATATAATAAACATGCAAATAAATATAAGTACAATAATATAATATAATAATATAGTATCTATCTCATGTATGCTTTGTCGTTCAGTCAAGATGTAAATAAATATTAAAATATAATATAAAATAATATTATAATATAACAATATAATAAACATGCAAATAAATATAATAGTTAAGTACAATAATATAATAATAACATAATATAGTATCTATCTCATGTATGCTTTTCCATCAGTCAAGATGTAAATAAATATTAAAATATAATATAAAATAATATTATAATATAATAATTAAATACAATAATATAATAATATAATATAGTATCTATCTCATGTAGGCTTTGTCCTTCAGTCAAGATGTAAATAAATATTATAATATAATAACAATAAAAGTATTATCTAATATAGTGTCGATATATCACTATATAATGGTTTGACTGGATAAATAAATGTTTTGCATCTCAGTTGCATTCTCTCCTGACGTTTCACCTGCATCTATGGCAAGCATCCTCAGAGGTAGTGAGGTCTGTTGGAACTAGGAAAAAGGGTTTATATATCTGTGGAATGACGAGGGTGGGACAAAGAACTCTTGTTCAACTGAACAGACAAGAGTCCTTTGTCCCACCCTGGTCTTTCCACAGATATATAAACCCATTTTCCTAGTTCCAACAGAACTCAGTACCTCTGAGGATGCTTGCCATAGATGCAGGCAAAACGTCAGGAGAGAATGCCTCTAAAACATGGCCATATAGCCCGAAAAAACCTACAACAACCCAGTGATTCCGGCCATGAAAGCCTTCGACAATACAATAATAGAAATATTATTATACCCAGCTGGTGCTAAAGACCCATTGAGAAGCTACAGACTGTCTCTGATAGAAAGCTATACAATGATGCATCTCTCTATTGCATAGCAAAAGTATTTCCTTTGCAAGGAATGCTGGCAAAGGATTGCAATGAATACTTGGAAAAACTACATATCCCAATTATTTCTCCCTTTCATTCTCTGACTCAGCTGGTTTAATCTTTGCTGTTTTCTTAATTTTCTATTTTCTTTGAATTTTTTGATATTGCAAAACCATGTTGTTTGTGTATTAGTCCAGCATCAGGCATATGTTGGGATATTCAGTCTCAACTGAGATTTCTCTGCACTTGTATCCGGGGAGTGTAACGCTGGGTTTCACATTTATGCAGTATTTATCAACTGATATTAGCTTGTTTCGCCCGGCTCAGGCTTCAGTTGCATTCTTACAGCAGCTTTAAAAAATCAGATTAAGCATAGCTGCAGAGGATAGATGATCAGCGGTTAATCCCTGGCAGAATGGCATTTGTCATTGCAGGCTATCTGCTTTGAAGAGCACATGCTTTTGAGGACTAGTGCATTATTTTAATATTTTAAATATCATCTGTGTCGTGGGATCGTCATAGTAACTTCATAGTAACTTCATAGTAACTTCATAGTAACTTCATAGTATTTATTTATTTGTCGTGTCAGGGCACCCAGTCAATTATATTACATTTCTAACCGAACAAAGCAAACAGACAAAATACAGAATTTGTGAGTTTGGCAGTTGATTAAATGTCCCTTGACAAGTATCTGGCCACTTGGAGTGCTTCTGGTGTTGCTGCAAGAAGGTCCTCCGTTGTGCATGTGGCAGGGCTCAGGTTGCATTGCAGCAGGTGGTTTGCTCCTCTCCACACTCGCATGTCGAGAATTCCACTTTGTAGCCCCATTTTTGAGGTCATAGTAAATGCATAGTAACTTTGTAGTAAATGCATAGTAAATACATAGTAAATGCCATCTGGTTCATAGTATGTTCATAGTAACTTCATAGTAAATACATAGTAAATACATAGTAAATGCCATCTGGTTCATAGTATGTTCATAGTATTCTCCATAGTAACTCCATAGTAACTTTTATTTATTTAATTTAATTTAATTACAATATTTATATATTCCATCCTTCTCATCCTGCAGGGGACTCAGGGTGGATCAAAATGCACATATACATGGTGAACATTCAATACCATAGACACACAGCATATATAGACAGAGACACAGAGGCTGTTTAGCTTTCCAGCTTCATGAGGGTATGCTTTTTGAATTCCGGCCACCGGGGGAGCTGTCACTTCACCATCTACTTGTGACACTGATGGAGTACTTCCTCATTCTTTTGCACTGCTGCTGGGGAGTTTTATGGTGTTGTAAATTAGTTAAATTAGCCTCCCTACATAAGCAGTACCTAAATTTCGTACTTGAAAGTTGCAACTGTCTTTCGGG